CTTTTTTTCTATTCTGCCCTATCAATGCATCCATATTTATATTCTGTAAGGCTAGCATAAGTTTATTCCCACAAATTTTTGGATGTTTCTAATTTTCTAATTGGTTTCTACTTTCCTTGTTTCTATAATCAGGATGATATTGGATGGGTTTCCGAGATGAATAATTTCATTATTGGTGACACGGTAATGCCTGCTTCTCCCTACAGTTCTTTCTCCCATGCTGTGTTACTGAATGCTTATTTTACTGCTGAGGAACTCTAGAATAATGATAAGCAATGGTGGTGCTAACAGAAAAAGAAAATGCCCTTGCTTCCTCTTTTACTGGGGACTTGCCTGACGCATGGCTTATGTTGCTGCATCTCAAAGCATACAAAGGAGATCACAGAGCATCAGCGCTGTGGTTTATTGTATTCTTAATATCAGATCCATAAGAGGGGGAGAGAGTAGTTCCCAGGGCCATGTGCTGGGTGGAGGGTGACCTTCTGTGGGGGACGGAGGCTCTTAACATATCATTTTTAAGATAGAATAGTCTTTAGTACAAGCCTCAAAATGTGTCTTGAGAAACATCCCGGAGGGGTTGTAAGAAGTTAACTTTGCAGTCCTGACTTAGCCCTGGAGTGCTTCTCCAAAGACAAAGAACACCTGGGCCCAGATAACCACCTATGACCCTGCCTGGGTTGTTTCATCCTTTCCCTGGCCCTAGATAAACACTGTAACCATAAAGGAAATGTGTGGTTATCTAAAGGGGGACATATAGAACAGAGTACAGAAAGTATATATCATTGTGGTTGGGCTCACGACCCGGGCCTGAGCCAGTCACGTGGCACAAGGAAAACAATGTGTGGCCAGGGCTACAACATTCCAGTCTGTTACCATGGAAACCAAAAAAGGTATATAAGATGGAAACAAAGGCAGACAGGGGCTCCACGTTCCTGATGTCCCTGCTAGTCAGGGATGTGCAGGGACCGGTCTAAAATTAATAAACTCTGTTTGCCCTAAATAGAGTCCTTCGATCTTCTGTGGAATTCAGCCTGTTTGACGCTATACTTCGTACCTGTCCCTCCCCCACACTGGCTGGGACTCACTGCTGTTAAGCAAGATCTAAGATTTGACTTCAGAGGGTTCTTGTTTTGCTTGGTTTTCCTTAATTTTATCTTTAGCTGGTAAATAACAACTGTATTTTTATGGGAAGCAATTTTATATTGTCAAGGGATTAAATCAACCAAAGTAACACATAACCACCTCTCCTGGCTCTCCACGTGGATGGATGTGGGCAGGGGATTTGTTTTAGTTATATTCAAAACTAACATTAAGGAAATACTTTATCCTAAACTTTCAAACAGAAGTGGATTCTAACGAGTATCGATTCTTAAGTTTTGGGAACAAGGAATCTGTGCATCCTTTCAGCCTCACTCTATGTTGTAAAGTTTAATTCTTCACAACTCTATTGAACCCCTCTAGGAATGTCTCTGTAATTTCACCTTTATTTCTTTTCAGTCACTTTGAGTACTCTTAATATTTAATATAAGACAGGACTAGATGATTTAAAATTGCCTGTGCAAGTTTGTTCATGGTCTCTTTCTCCTGCCAAATGTTAATGTTTGTTTTTCCCAAAATTGTTCCCATTTATCAATCTTGTCTAAGGGATCTATGATTGATCTTTTTGTGTAAATGGATCTGCTGACTATTTGTCCTTGTATTAATTTGTTATATTTAGTATCATACATAGACTAGGAGACATAATTTTTATTCTAAAGGAATCACGGCCCAGCACAGGAAAAGTAGAAACTAGAGAACATTAACAGAAGATAGCTAAAAGTTCAAGGGTCCAAGCATTGCTGAGGAGATAAGCATATCTGTCCAGTTCAAAATGAGTTATTTAATTCTTTCTTACATGATAGAATAGAGCAGGAGGATGACACTCTCACCCAAATAGAGGGAATACTGCATTTGAAATTATAAAAGCAAGTACTAACGAATAAATGAAAAAAGCCATAGAAAATAATCTAGAAGCTTTTTTCAAAGTAGAGAGCATAATATAAATTAGTGTGAAAAAGGGAGTATATTGCCACAAATATGTAAGTAGAATAAATTATTCGATTAAATATAGATTGTCAAATTGAAGGGCAAATCACAAATTTTATTAACTTGTATTTTCCAAAGACATGCATAAGCCAAATAAATATGGAAAACTTCAAAGACATGAAATGACTGCAATTACGAAGATATTACTAAAGAAATGCAAACCAGAACAAATCTGGTATGTAAATACATTAGAAATAAGAACAAGTAAGTGCATGCTCCATTTATAACTGTATGGAGGTTCAAATTATCACAAAAAGATTAATTGTGATATTACAAATTTTGACAACTTATGATAATGTGGCCTCAACTCAAAAAGAGGAAAAAACCTGAAGAATCTGAGGAGGAGGAGGAGGAGGAGGAGGAGGAGGATACACAGGGAGGTTAACAGGAAGGAAAAAAGAAATACAAATAGGAAATTATGGCTTTATACTGAGAAATTACAATAATCCATTTTAAAGAAAAAAATAACACTGTGCATTAACAGAATATTTCAAAATTAAATGAGCAGGCTGCAGTTATTATGCAGATGTCTGTATCCCATACGAGAAGAGCCCGTAGTCTGTGGGGCAGCTCAGCGGTAGAGCACTTGTTGGACACGTGGAAGGCCCAGAGTTTGCTCTGTGCCACTGCAGCAGAATAAGAATACACGTTCTTTACGTGCACGCAGGGATTGTTAATAAGGAGTGAATGTGAACTGGGCCATAGGTCAAGAAGCAGCACTTAGCCAGGTGTGATGGGGCACACCCATAATCACAGCATTAGGGGAGGATGAGGCAGGAGGGTCACAAGGTTAAGGCCAGTATGGGAAATGTAATGACACAGGAAGACTCTGATTTAAATTAAACCCTAAGAATAAGCTGCGGAGATAGCATGTAGCACAGTGAGAAGACCCTGGGCTCAGTCTACAGTACTGACAAAAAAAAGATTTAAGACATAGGATAATTATGGACAACAGGAAACCCTGTGTTGTGTTCCTGCAGAAATTTCTGATATCAAGGGAGAGAAATGTAAAATTTTCCTTGACTGAGAGACTTTGTTTCTATTGTAGGAAAAATGAAGTGAATGGGGTTATTTGGAATAAACAATCTAAGAAACATTTATTTGTGCATTGACATAATTTTTATATTTTTAAATTAAGAAGATGAAAAACTTCAAATGTACAGTACTGTGTCTCCTTCCAGTCCTACCAATTCTTCACGCTTATCCAATGTGTCCCTGCCTTCGTAATGATTCCTCCTCTCCTGGACTTCTGAAGCGGAGGGGATTCTCCTGGGTTTTGATGATGGCGCCTGCATAACTTTGACGGCATGGAGGCATGAGCGAGTCGGTCACCAGTCTTCTGCTGTGCGATTCGCCCACAGAGGCCGTGTTTCTCTGCTTCCTCCAGAACCCTCTTTCAAAATAGTTATTCCTGCTCATTGGAATTTCCAACTTCATGAGAATGCCGTTGTTTTAATGTGAAGCATTGAATGATAGGTTAATTTGTGTGGTTATTTTAGTGCTTGATACAAAGGACCATTTACAAAACACAACACAAATTACTTTGCCCGTTCCTTACACTTTGCTTTGGACACGTGGACCTTTTCCTCCATGCACCCAGCAGTAAGGGCCTCCAAGGGTCTCGACGATGTGGCTTCCTTTAGGTATACATTCTAAGGCCTTAAAAGAGTTAGCTCTTTTAAAGACAGGTTATATTCCCTAGTAGCTTATTCTTAATTGGGACACTGCCTTTATACTGGGTGTTCTATAAAACGCACCACAATCTGGGTGTCTAAAATGATGATTATTCACTTTTAACATGTGGAGAGCTTAAGAAAATTAAGAGAGCCTCTGCTGCCTAATTCATGAGTGAAGTATTCTCAGTCCTTCCTCACATGGCAGAATAATGAGAGTCTCCCGGTCCCTTGTAAAGGACATTCATCTGTAGTCACCTCACTTCTTGAGAAATCTGCCACCATGACCTCGTCTACCCTAATTAGCTCCCCCAAATCACCCTTCCAACATGGCATATTGAGGCTTAGGGTCTTATCATATGAATTTGGGAACAGAATGAAGGCACTTAGTTCACACAAGATGTGGCGCTGCATTAGAAGATAACCATTTCTTGATGCTATTCATTCTTTCTGGAGTAAGACAGAATCTCACAGTTAACGTAATTTGCATTTCTCCAATGGCCAGAGAGGTTGCACATTTTAAACTGTAGTTACTGACCATTTGGATTTCTTCTTCTGGGGGGTGCCTATTCAGTGCAGTTGCTCATGAACTGATTTGGTCTTTCACTCTGAGGAGGGCCTTTTATTTAATTCTTCATGTATTCTAGAACCTGCACTGATGAGAGTTTCCGTTCCTTACTAGATATAGAGCAGTGCGTGAAGTGTCCAGATCATCACTGTGGAATTCAGAGAAATCGCTGCCTTCAAACAGCTGTGACATTTCTGGCTTAGGAAGACCCCTTGGAGAAGACACTAGCTAGCACAGGCCGGAGTCTCATTGACTTCACAGCTGCTGTTCTTGGGCTCTTTGTGAAGCACCGACACACTCCCATCGTCAAGGCCAACAACCGGGCTCTCAGTTACACCCTGCTCATCTCCCTCACCTGCTGCTTCCTCTGCTCCTTGCTCTTCATTGGCCGGCCCAGCACAGCCACCTGCATCCTGCAGCAGACCACATTTGGAGTTGTGTTCACTGTGGCTGTTTCCTC